TGTGTGTGTGTGTGTGTGTGTGTGTGTGTGTGTGTGTGTGTGTGTGTAGTGAGACAGAGAGAGAGAAAAAAAAGGAAGGAGGGAGAGAGAGAGGGAGGGAAAATGTAATAAAATGCTAACATTTGGGGAATCTGGGAGAAGAGTATCCAGGAATTCTGCGTACTATTCTTGCAGCTTTTCTGTCAGTCTGAAATTATGTCAAAATTTTAAAAAAGTTTTTCTTTGAGATATTACTATACACCCACCAGAATGGTATAATTAAAAAATATATAGAATTAAAAAACACCAGCAAATGCTGGCAAAGATGTGGAGCAACTGGAGCTCTCATTCATTACTGGTAGGAAAATAAAATGGTACAACCACTTTGGAAAAAGGTCTGTTGGTTTGTTAAAAAACTAAACATACACCTACCCTATGACCCAGCAATTTTACTTCCAGGTATTTACCCAAGAGAAATGAAAACATGTTTACAAGAATGTACAAGAATGTTCATAGCAGCTTCATTCATAGTGACCCAAACAGCCCAGGTGTCCATCAATTGGAGAATGAATAAACAGTGGTACACATTTACTATGGAACACTACTCAGTATTCAAAAGTAACAAACTACTGATACATGCAGCAAGGTGGATGAATCTCAGAAATATTACACCAAATCTCAGAAACATCATACCCAGTGAAAGAAGCCTCACACAAAAGAGTACACAGTATATGACTCTGCTTACATGAAGCTCTAGAACAAACAAAGCTAATCTATGTTGAAAAAAAATCAGAATAGTGGTTGCCTGTGGAGGGCCGGGGTGGGACTGACTAGGAAGGGGCATGAGAGAACTTTCTGGGGTAATGTAAATGATCTGTATCTTGATAGTGGTATTATACATGGGTTATACATGTGTATACACATGTGTATACACTTGTCAAAACTCAGCAAATGTGACAAGATGTATACATTTCAGTGTATTTGTTGCAGATGTAAAATGTACATCAAAAGAAAAAAATGGTAAACAAAGGATGAATTCTAGGGGACTTCCCTGGTGGTCCAGTGGTTAAGACTTTGCCTTCCAATGCAGGGGGTGTAGGTTTAATCCCTGGTCAGGGAGCTAAGATCCCACATGCCTCGGGCCGAAAAACCAAAGCACAGAACAGAAGCAATATTGTAACAAATTCAATACAGACCATTTAAAAATGATCCACATCAAAAAAAAAAAAAATCTTTAAAAAAGTATGAATTCTAGTGTATGATACGCATGCTCAAGTACTCAGGGTACTCAGAGTCTGCAATTTATTTATTTATTTTATTTTTATTTTATTTATTTATTTTTGGCTGTGTTGGGTGTTCGTTGCTGCACACGGGCTTTCTCTAGCTGTGGCAAGCGGGAGCTACTCTTCGTTGCAGTGTGCAGGCTTCTCGTTGCGGTGGCTTCTCTTGTTGAGAAGCACGGGCTCTAGGCATGTGGGCTTCAGTAGTTGTGGCACGCGGGCTCAGTAGTTGTGGCTCACGGGCTCTAGAGTGCAGGCTCAGTAGTTGTGGCGCACAGGCTTAGTTGCTCCGTGGCATGCGGGATCTTCCTGGACCAGGGCTGAACCCATGTCCTCTGCCTTGGCAGGCAGATTCTTATCCACTGTGCCACCAGGGAAGCCCCTGAAATTTATTTTGATCTGAGTCCAAAAGTATGAGGGATTGATGAATGGATTCTAGAGGGATGGATTGAAGGATAGATATGCAATGGAACAAACACATGAAATAGTAATGGAATCTACAGGTTCACTGTAAAATTCTGTTTGCTGTATGTTGGAAGATTTGCGTAAATACAATGCTGGGAGAAAAGACATTTTGGGGACAACTGGGTGAAGCTGAATAAAGACTGGTTCTTAGATAATATTAGGGAATTATTTTTTGTCCGTTTTCTTAGGTGTGATAATGGTTAGATCTAAAAGGTGATTTAAAACGTGTTCATTGCCCTTTTCTTTGTCTGAAATGTTTCGTAACAAAACTCTGAAGAGAAAAATAGAACGAAACTACCTGGGTCTGAAGTTTCCTGGGGTCACTCCTCCCATCCAGTTGGACACTAGATGCTAGATGAACACAGGTTGAGGCTGGTCTGCCCGATCCCATCATGTCAGAAAGTGTGGTACAATAGTGAAAGCTCAGTCATCAGCCAACAGTTCTCTCCTAAAATCATTGCCTAAAATAAAAGAAGGTACTTTCAGACCAGCTGTATTCAAACGAAAGGAAAGAGTAAGTAAAACACAGTGCCATGCTCATATAACAATATTGTAGTAGCCCCCAGCCACCTCATACTACAGAGTGAATGCTTAAGGACAGGTATACGACAGTTTCTTCCACTTACTAAAGCAACTACACTTTTGAAATTCTACTTTCCAAGCGAATAGGGGACACACTAGCTTAATGACTATCTCTTGAGCCCTTTTCATTCCAAATTTCACATCTCAAAGGTCACCAAAAACAGAGCTCTGCTACGGTAAACAAGCACTTTCCCGCAAGGAAGTTTTACGGATATACAGCCTACATTAATAAATCCTAACTACTAACCAAAAAGCAGTACACTTCACTCTTCTAGGTAGCTCAAAAGGACATAACTCTGAATGACTCTAAGTAAACCTGTGGCATCGGAGTACCTAGACTGACGCCAGGAACTGCCATTAACTAGCTGAATGACCTCTGTACATCTTCAATTTCCCCCAAACTCCCCCCACCCTATATTCACATACAGCGTCTAACAGATAAGAGCGTTTTGTAAACTACACACGCATCAGTGCCTCTCCCTATTCTGAATGCCTCCTTATAGACACTACTGCCCCTGCACTCACACACTTGCTCATGTCGTTATTTACCTATTTCACAGGTATCTGTCTCATCTTCCCAGCTAGACAAGGTTCCTGGAGGGTTAGGGCCTTGTCTTGCTCTTCTCTGAGATTCCCCACAACAGTGCTTTGAGCATAGTGGACAATTTAACTCAACATTTGTCGAATTAAGCAGATTTTCCATAAACTGACTAGTGTTAACTGCATGGGGGAGCTTGCCCTCTCAAAGAATCCCATAGGAACTCAACTGGGAAATTCAGGTTTTTTTAAAGATCCCTAATTTAAGCTTTTGAATAAACTCAAGGATTGTAGACTGGATTTGCTTAAAGACTGACACATCTGTAGAAATATAAAGATTCCTTATTTCTAAGGCTATAGAGACATGATCAAAAGCGGAGATGGGAGGAAGCACCCGAGTGAGGCAATCCCAACTGGCTTGACATCACCACAGTCCAGGGGCCGGAGCCGCAGAATGAAGGAGCCTGCAGAATTGGGGCCTGGGCATCTGTGGCTTGTACGTGGTCAGTACTTTCCCCCTGGATGCCAAAGGCCTAACAGTCCATTCTCCAACAGGAAGAAACTAGGTGATCCCCACAGTTCCAGGATACCTCGAGTGATCTACACACACACACAAGCACATACACACACAAAGTCCAGGGACACCCACCCCGAACCGTTCCCCTATACAAAGTCCTGGGACACCCCTCTCCTTGCAACCTGTCCCTTTCCCATTGCGCCAGAAAACCTCCCAATGTGTTATCCCATATACGGTGAGGGATCTCCAGGAAGTATCTCTCTCCCCCATCCTGAGACACCCTTACGGCCTGTGCCTTCATCCATAACCCAGGACAAATCTCCCCCCAACCTGTTCCCTCCCAAAGAGCCCCAGGGTCCCCCAACTTGTTCCCTATATATACTACTGGAATGCACCCCTCAATCTGTCCTCCCCCTCACAATTTTCTCCCAAATTGTTCCCCCTCCCTCTGATTCTAGACCCTCCTGCAGCCTGTCTCCTCCCACCCTGCTGTGCATGATCTCTCAAGTGGCCAATGCCTGTCTCCTCCCTTGAAACCGGGGGCACTTCCTCGGCTTCGTTCACCCCCCAAGCCGTGCCTGTCCTGGACACCCCTGGCACGTTCTCAGAGTCCGGTTCTTCCCCCGCAGATCTTGGGCAGCTCCATAACCTGGTCCCACGCCCACAGGTGTAAGACACGCCCCCCGGCAGCCCCAGGACACTTCTACCTCCTGTCTCCCACCCTGGAGCCCCGGGGCCCTCTGTGGACGGCCTCTTCCCCGCCGTGAAGCTGGAGACAGCCGTACTGGGATCTTCTCCTGCAGACCCAGTCACCCACACTGCGGCAGGCCGACGCCCCGCCGTGGGAACTCCTACAGCTGCAAGCACCCCCAAAGACAGAGGTACCCTCACAGCCCCAGGGACAGCTCCATCGGCTCTCCTTCTCCACAGGCCTGCAACGCCTTCAGAGTCAGTCTCCCCGTTCCCAGGTCCTGAAGCCCTGGCAGCAGTGGGCACCTCAGTCGCCTGTCTCCTTCTCCATACCCCTGAGCCACTCCCAGAGCTGGCATCACCCACCAGCGGTCCAGGGGCCCCAGCAGCTGTGGACACCCCTGCGGTCAGAAGTACTCCCGCAGTCTGTCCCCTCCCTGGCAAGCGTGAGAAACCCCCAGGGCCAGTCTCCAACCCCAGGGGACCAGGTATCCGAGAAGCCATGGGCACCTCAGCAGCCACAGGAACCCTAGCACTCTGTCTCCTTCCCCATGATCCTGGGGAAGCCTCACAACCAGTATCCTCTCCCACAGACCACAGCTCCTGGGGAGCCATAGGTACCCCTGAAACCAAGGGTATCCTGGTAGTGCGAACCTCTCCCCACAGGTTCAAGTCATCCCTGGAGCCGCCTTCCTGACACACAGAGCCAGACACCCACACAGCAGCAGGCACTCTGGCAGGTACGCTTCCAGACCCAGACGTACACACAGCTGCGGACGCCCCTGCTGGGGCACTCCTGTGCTTGGACACACCTGCTGTCTCTGGCGACCCCACTGCCTCAGACAGCCCTGCGGCCTGTCTTCTCATGCAGAGACATGAGGCATCCCCACAGCCAGCCTCCTGATCCACAGACCCGGGTCCCCCTAAAGCTGCAGGCACCGGAGCCTCCTGCCCCCCCAGAGCCTCTTGCCCCCCCAGAGCCCGCCTCCTTTCCCACAAACTCAAGACATTCCCACCGCAGGTCTCCTCCCCGACAGCCCCCATCACTGCATCAGCCGGGGGCGCCCCCAGAGCCTGCTGCCTAGCCCACAGGCCTGGGACACCACCGCCGATGGTCCATTCTCCCACGGCTCCCGCTACCATCGGAGCCTGGGACACCCTCACAGGCTGTTCCGTTCCCCACAGACCCCAGACACTCCCACAGCCTGTCTCTGGCCCCAGAGCCCTAGGTACTCCCATAGCCTGTCCTATGTCCCACAGGCCTGGAGAGCCCCCAGGACCTGCCTCCTGCTCATCAGGACCAGACACCTCTGCAGGCTGTGCAGCTTCCCGGGACCCGAAGTCGCCCCCAGAGCCTGTCTCCACCCACACAGCCTGCCCCGTCTCCCCGAATCCTGGCTCACCCCGACATCTCGTTCCTGCTCCAGTCGCACAAGGCACCACTATGGGCTGTCCCGTGCCCCACAGGCCAGGGAGACGCCCGGCGTCTGTCTCCTCCACGGCTTGTCTCCTCCGCCACGCGGCTGGGGCACCCACAGAGGGAGTTTCCTCCCGCGCAGCTCTGGGCACCCCTGCGGTCCGCCCCCTTCCCCCTAAGCCTGGGGTATCCCCACACACAGGCGCCTGCGCTGCCTGCTCCCTCCCCCGCAGACCTGGAGCAGCCCTGCCGCCTGGCTCTCCCTCCACAGCTCTGGGTACCTCCACAGCCTCAGGCCACCCCACAGTGGCCCCGGGAACCCCCCCAGTCGACCCTTTTCCCCAAGAGCCCGGGGCAACCCCATAGCCTATCCCCTCCACGGGCCCAGGCACCGCCACGGCTTGTCTTCTCCCCCGCGGGTGTGGGGCAATCCCAGAACTTGCCTCCAGAGCCCCAGGCACAGCCACAGGTGGCATCCTCACAGCCTGGCCTTGCCCACACCAATCTGAGGCCCTCTCACAGCCTGCCCCTAGGTCCGGAGCTATGGCTACTCCTGCGGCCCGGGGGACTGGCCTGGCCTGGCCTTTCACCCATGGTCCGGTGAGACCACCACAGCTGGTCTCTACCCACGAAGCCCGTCCAGGAACCCCCCTTTCAACCGGCCCTTCTCCTGCAGACACGGGATGGAGCTCGACTCTGCTTCCTTCCCCACATCCTGAAGCTGCCCTCATAGCCTGCACCTTCAACCACAGTTCCAGAATGCTCTCATGCCCCGTAGATCCCGGACGACCTTTTCTCTCACAGCCTCGGGGGATCCTATAAGCCGTCTCCTCCTCCCCCCCAGTGCCAGTCACCCACACAGAGCCGACAGGCCCCACCACCTGGGGTTCCCCCACTGCCCCGTTCACCCACACAGTCTCAAGGTCCCTTGCTACCTCCATCGAGACTGCCGTGCCAGGTGTCCCCGCAGCCTTGTTCGCCCCGGCGGCCTGGGCTGTCCCCGCTGCAGGTCTCCTCCCCCATGGCCGCCGACAGTCCTGCAGCCTTTCTGCACTCACACAGCGCGTCTCCCGCACCGAGGACCTCGCCCGGCGCCTCCCTCCACGGCCTCGGGACGTCCCTGCACCCCGTCTCTTCTCCCACGGCCGCCGGACTCCGCGCCCGAACCTGCTGGGCCCCACGCAGCGGCCCGGCGTCTCCGCCGCTAGCTCGCCCCTGCGCAGCCCCGGCAAGACCCCTGGGCCAGCCGCCCCACTCATCGCTCCAGGGCGACTCCCGCCTTCCCAACGCAGCCCCGCGGCACCTCCCAGAGCGGCTCCACACACGCACTCACACACTCAGCTCTAGCCCTCTGAGCCTTCCTCCCTCCCAGCCCCCTACCCCCGCCCAGTCCCGGACGCCCGCCCCCCGGTCCCAGGGCCCCACTAAAGCCTCGGCAAGAGAAAAAGTAATTAGGCCCGACGAGCGGCAGGATCTGCGCTGGGTCAAAGTCTCCTCTCCCGCAGATCCATGACTCCTAACGCGGCTTCCCACAATCCCCCCAGCTCCGGCCAGAGCCCACCTGGTCTGGGGCGCGGCGCGCCTACCAGAAAGCAGGCTGGGGGCCGCAACTAGGCCTCCCTTCCGGCCGCTCGCCCAGTCGCCATGGCAACGGGCGCAGGGCGGGTTGGGAGCCGTTAAGGCTCCGGAGCCACCTAAGGGTCCAGGGGCTGCGTGGCGGCAGGTTTTGCAGTCACTGCACATGGGCTGGGGCCGGGACCAGACAGGGGCAAAAGCCGAGGTTTCGGAGTGCAGTCAGCACTGAGAGACCTGAGAAAATAGAATAGAAAAACGGTGCAGAGGAGTTTTGGCCGTCAGAGGGTCCCGTAGCACCTCAGAGCCGGGCTTGCTTTCTCAGGCCCTGCCCAGCTCCCCGCCCACCCGGAAACAGCTTCGCCCCACCCCGCATGGAGCTTCTCCCAGCGGCCCAAGACACCTCTAGCTGTCCGAGGCACGCTCTCCCGATGGCCCGCTACGAAGAGGTGAGCGTGTACGGCTACGAGGAGTTCATGCAGGCGGTGGAGCAGCACAGTGGCAAGACCATTTTCGCCTATTTTTCTGGTTCTAAGGACGCCGAAGGCAAAAGCTGGTGCCCCGACTGCGTGCAGGGTGAGGCCGGGATTCGGGGGCTGCAGCCCAGAGTAAGTGGCAGGAAGGCCGAGGCTATGGCCAGAGTGGGGTGGAGAGGAAGCGGAGGGAGTCTTGTTACCGGAGTCCCGCAGGGCGATCTGAGCTCTCACCTTGCCTTTTCCTACCCTGTTCCCGACTCTCCTCCTATTAAGTCCTTCCCGCCCCGCCAAGTGTGCTCTTCTACCATTCGACCCAGGTAATCTTGGAATCTAGTCCATTAGAACTTCTCACTTCCCCAATGTGATTAGTGTCTTACAGGAGACGTGAATTGGTCTCCTTATGGTAAGTCAGCAAATATTTGTCTTTCATTGTTCTGGGCGCTGTGGCCTGGGGACAAATCAGGACTGAAAGTGGGTCCTTACCCTTAAAGTGGCTCTCAAAAAAAAAAAAAATCAGAAAAAAACACGTGACTTCCGTTTATCTCCTCAGTTAACTGCAGGATAAAGTCTGAGTACTTACCAAGACGGAGGGGAGGGGAGGGGAGAGGGACGCTGTTCATCAGTGCCTGATTGTAAAGTTGGTAATTATTTCTATCAACTTTTTAAAAAGCTGAACCGGTCGTACGAGAGGGGCTGAAGCATGTTGGTGAAGGATGTGTGTTCATCTACTGCCAAGTAGGAGAAAAACCTTAGTAAGTGGCAATGCGTACTCTATTTCCCAGACATGCACTAGACTCTTGCAAATTTAGGCGGGAAGGGTCTTGTGATTCAGGTTCTGAGTTCTAAGATACAGTCGAATAAGTCAAGCAATTAGAATATATTAAATACGAATTAAAAATTCGAATGTTCAGCCATTTGTATTAGGTAAGGGTAATTCAATAATTTGGCCTGATGTTAGTTCAGAACTTGTCTTTACATTTATTTTATATCTTAGTATATATTCACTTAAATGAAAACTTTGCACAGGAGAATATATGTTGTAGATGTCAAGGTTTTTAAAATGTTTACAACAAAAACAATGATTACTGAAAGACTGAAAGTGGGAATATATCAAATACAAAGCAGAATGTAAGAAACCAAGTAAATGTTTTTCATGATCACTTTCTCC